AAGTATAGAAGTTATCTTCAATCTTGATTTTGTGACTCCAAGAGTTGGAAGTATCTAAGATAGGTGGTATCTGAAGGGAGAGTAGGCTACTATTAAGTGACTCAAATCCAAGTCTTCTGGCTGCTAAGCCACATTCTTTCCATTATGCTGTACTAGCTCTTCCTCAATAACTTACATCTAAAGCTTTTAGAGCTAGCAGAGCCAGTATCTCATTTAATCTTGGTAATGACCCTGAGATGTAAGCTGAGGCAGATGTAATTATTTCTAACATACAGGACACTGGGTATCTAAAGGATAAAATCATTTGTTCAAAGATGTTATATCTAATGCCAGTAATATCTATAAGACATAATTATTAGGAAAATAATTGTGTGTAACTGAAATATATTATCTTTAGAGTAACAGTATCTTTAAATGAGTGTAGTATATCTGTTAGGTTTGTATTCTGAGGATGGTAAATACTAGACATCTGTACTGCCCTCTCCTTTCCCACTGTTATCTTTTAGCACATTCTTTCCTACTGGAGCTGAACCCAGTCTCAAAATCTCTCTGAACCTCCTGCTCCAGAAAGCCCCGTACCAGTTGACTGGCATGGCATTCCTGTTTTCACTCTCCTCACTTAGGTCCCACATTGTATACCATTTGTTTCTGATGTTTTCTTTGCTTTTGACTTGATAGTTGTTGTTAATGGTTCTCATATTATATCATGTGTGTATACACTATCTTCTGCATTTACAGAGTCCTGCTTTTCACTTTTTATTTCAGAGCCTCAACTATAGTAATTCATACACAGTGAATCCTCAAAGTGTTCTGAATGTACCTGAGACAAATGGATGGTATTTAGGGAAAAAATCTAAAATTAAAAAAATAAAAACTGCCATTATTTCTGAATATAATTTAGATCAAGGGTCAGTAAACATTTACTGTAAAAAGCCAGATAATAAATATGATAAGCTCTGCTAACCAGATGATCTGTGACACACCCACTCAACCCTGCCATGACAGTGTGACAGTACCCACAGAAAACACATTAACAGGTGAGTATGACTATGTTGCCATGAAACTATTTATGGACACTGAAATAGAATTTTCGTATAATTTTCACAAGTCACCAAATATTACTCCTCTTTTGATTTTTTTCTCCAACAATTAAAAAATATAAAAACCATTGTTAGCTTGCAGGCCATAGAAAATCAGGAGGCAGGCTGAATTTGGTCCATGGCCCAGAGTTTACTGACCCCTGGCCTAGATCTAGAGTTGTCAAAGTGAGAACTTCTGGTGGTCTGCAAGATCTTTCCAGCAAGTTCAGTTACCAATGTGTGAGACAAAATTTTCTTTGTATACATCAACAAAATAGACCAAATGTAGATGCAAATATGAGGATCTAGCTACCTTCTATTAAATAAGCCAAAAATTAAAGAGACTGGCAAAATGTAAAAGAATGCCATTCTTCTCAATAATTTTTCCTCTATGTTTGTAAAATGTAAAGTGGTATCCCATATCAAATACTGTCCATATTAACATGCCACAGGCTTATTTTTAATATGTTAATATTTTAAAAATTCTTCAGTTTTGATTTCTAACATGATAAATGTCAGTTGATATAACCAATAAACAAAAGCTCTCTGGGGGCTCTCAGTAAATTTTAGGAATGTGACCAGGCGTGGTGGCTCATGCCTGTAATCCCAACACTTTGGGAGGCTGAGGCAGGTGGATCACCTGAGGTCAGGAGTTCAAGACTGGCCTGGCCAACATGGCAAAACCCTGTCTCTACTAAAAATACAAAAATTAGCTGGGTGTGGTGGTGTGCATGTATAATCCCAGCTACTTGGGAGGCTGAGGCAGGAGAATCACTTGAACCTGGGAGGAGGAGGTTGAAGTGAGCCAGGATTGCACCACTGTACTTCAGCACGGGTAACAAAGCGAGACTCTGTCTCAAAAAAAAAAAAAAAAAAAAAAAAAAAAAAAAAAAAAAATTAAGAATGTAAAGGGAGCATAAGACCAAAAACTTTGAGAACCAGATGCTGAGCCACAGACAGATCAACTTACAGCTTGTACACTGCCAGCACAGTGTACCTAGGCCTGCCCACGAGACAAAACCACCTGGGAGACAACTTCATTGCAAGCTCTATCTTGGCCTCTTCCCACCTAAAAGATTCCTGGCATTTCTCTGATTAGATCCTGATTTGGTCAAATGCAATCCCATGCATTTATGTTCTCACATAATAAAGTTAGTGGATATTTTCATAAAACAACTCTTTGGATCTATGTAGAACATAAAAGTACTTCAGCTTTTACTCTGTCAAAACAGGCATCTAGAAACAAGTCTCTCTCCCTAGCCTCTATTTTCTAATCTTAAAAAAAAAAAAAAAAAATTATTATTGCAATTCCTTGCCACCAGAACATATCCCAAAACGATTCATTAGCTCATTTACATATCATAGTGTACCTTTGACCTGGCTACACAAATATTGTGGGGGCCTGATCCTAATTAGAACTCTCACAGCAGTGTTAAATCTAAAGAAAGAAAATCCACTAGACATGGTACAAGTTTAATTAATAGTGCTAATAATACCGCACTAAAATTACATTTTGCAAGTAAGGCATACAGATCTTATAGAGAATTTTTTAAAAGTATTAATATTTTGTTTGTTCTGTCATTTGAAATTTAAAAACTTTTTAAAAAAAATTCTAGGGGAAATTTTTATTTTAATTATTTTAGGGGAAAGTTATTTTAATTCCAGTGTTACAATATACAGGGAAACCTTATATAAGGAAGTATTTCTTTCAATATAAATATACATGAGGTTTGACTGTTTATCCAAATAACGTGTACTGGTGGCCTGAGGAAATATTTTCTTTCTTTTTCCAACCCCATTTTAAAGAGATTTAAGAAACAATAGCCACGATTTCAACATTTATCATTTTGTTGTTCTTAATTAGAAAGTGTTTCTCCATGAGTATATGATTCTAAAAGTCTCCATCCTTTACCTTGTGGAATAATAACTTTGTAAACAATAACAAAAGAAGAAACAATTTATATTTTTGAATATTTGTCCTTCAACCTGTATTATAAAAATACTTAAAAATCAGGAATTGTGATTGGATGCTAAGTCTGCCACAATTTATGAGTACTGGTTCCAAATAGTCAAATAAAATACATTTGGCTACTTAAACCAACACCAAAAGTGAAATTCGTTAGCATCTTTTTTTTTTTTCAAGATTGAAAAATTGCTATTTATTTGACAAAAAAACTTTTGCATTTAATAAAGAAATGTTAATAACTGGTACATACATTAGTTCAAAATATTTTCACTAAGCACCAAATAGAATAGTTCCCGGACTTTTCACTGAGAACACCTTTGAAAAAATGCCTAAAACAATCAGTTTATTTAGGTTTTTAACCAAGAAATCGAAAGCTGCCAATCAGAGTTTCTAATTACCACGAGACGACCAGGTAAACAACCTTGAGGTCATATAATATGAGCTTTTAAAAGCTTTGTTTAATCTCTACATCCCAACTGAGGGGATTTGTTGGCCTGAGGCTGGTAATCACAGGTCCATGTGCCAGATACTACACACACATACATACACACACACACACACACACACACACACACACACCACTGAATAATAAGTATCATGGATAAAGGATAAAGACTACATGGCCCGTGTATATTTAAGGGGAATAATGTCTAATTCTCATGGCTGTACAATTAATTCACAAGCATCTTTAAGATCAGAAAGCCACTGGCAAATTATTGTCTCTTTGGGGAATTATTAATCATTTGAGGGAAGAGTGAAAAATACATTAGAAGAATGTTGGGAGCTGTGCTGTTCAAAAAAGAACAAAAAATAAACTTAAAATATGGGGAAAATGCTTACTGGTTAAATCTACAGTAAAAACAAAAGTCTCATCATGATTGCAAAACATTCCAAATTGTGAAACTTAAGTTATTTGTAAAATAGACAAAAGTGAAGCAGCTTCCTCAGTCATTTTTTGAGATCTCAGCATCAATTTAAAGAAAATGCTTATATTTAAAAGAAAGCCTATTTCAAAATACGAATCCCTACATTAAGCACATATAAGGACATGAGGTAAATTTATGTCTCATTTATCATACAACATTTCTGCTCTATGTGTGTGTAAATGAAGGTGTTGGGAGACTGAAGTTAGAAAAGGTTATTTGCTTCACTACTCACTTCTTTAAGAAATACAAGCTTCTCAATCCTAAAAGAAGCAAAGACTATAGGACTAAATAGATGCTAATGTGAAAAAATCCATTTATATAAAATTGGTATGTGGACCACATGGAAGAATGGGAAAAGAAAGGACATATGTACTTTACTGTGCAGAAAAGATATATTATTTCTGGTAAATACTGTCTAAAAATTTTTTTTGGTATAAAAAATTATATTGCCCGCTCTAATTCTTAAGTCAAAATTATGTCCACTAAAAAACCTGAATGTAATAGTTTATTAAGAAGGCAACAAATTTAAAAACCACATGGAATTTTATACTACCACAATGCTAAAACGGATCAGAGAGATTTTGGTCTATAGTTGAGAAGATAAAGTGGTCTTCTGAGAAAACATAGCTAATATTACTCCAAAGCGGCAAAACCAGAATCAAAGTATGGTTATCTTACAGTATGGCACAGCAGTTTAAAACTTGAACAATACCATTAGTATTTAAATAAAATAGTTTTCAGTTTTATTTTGTTTTCCCAATTCCCCTCCCCAGCAATGGGACAATACACATAACTAGCTGCTGGGAAATTTTCTGAGCACTTTGTGGAAACTGTTGGCTTTCAGAAATGGGCAGGCTGATTTGAACCAAAAATTAGACAAAATACAGAATTGCAACAATAGAAAGCAACTTAGAAAGAGGATCAAGCCAAGCAGATAAGCAAACTTTATAAAATCAGTTAACTGGGCTGTTCATCAAGTCAGTTCCCTAATTTCAAAAAGCCAAACCAAAGCAAAGCATGTTGACTTACATTGCTTCTTTAGTTCTTTCAGCTGTTGTTTAAACTGTACAAATTTTTCATTATTTTGAAAGTCTGCATCTGAATTCTTGTTCTGTAAAGCCAAAAATTTCTTCTCCACCAATAATTTTAAATCTGGTATTTTTTCTGGACGTTCTTCTTTTACCTAAGGGAGACAACAAAATAACCTGAGTTAAATGTTAACAATAATAGTGTTAACAAAGTTTTGCAACATTGTTTTTATCTCAGATAATTCAAAGCAAAAGATAGTAAGGTTGAAAACAATCTCTTGAACAAAGCACCAGAGAGGTTGGGATATGTTCTAGGACAGACTGCTGGCAAATATTGAAGGGACTCATTCATGCCAACTACTCATTCTATTTTGGCTTCCATAAGCTAGTGGCCCTTCAATGATCCTACTAACTTGTTGTCTTCTAATAACTACCAGGGACAATCACAAATGTGGCAACTTCATCAGACCTGAGCATCACCACCCAAGTCTGGTCAGTCCTCTTTTGCACTCACCAGTGGTTATTCCATCCTTCATGCTCAACAATCCTTTTTTTTTTTTTTTTTTTTTTTTTTTTTGGCCCTCCGCCCTAGCAGGTGAGAGTCACTTCTACTTTACAAAAGTGGCTGGGGTTTTAGCCTTGACCTTCCATAACGTCCTGCTATGCCAAGGAATAAGTGTCCCCTGATTCTGTTCAAGGCTAAATTATCAACCCATGTTCTCCTCCATTCCCAATATTATAAAATCATTTCCCAATATTATAAACTTTCAAATATGCAGAAAGGTTGATGGAAGAATATTGTGAACACTCATTCATCTACTTCCTAGGTGCCACAATTAACATTCTGCTCTGTGTGTGTTATCACATATCTATCCATTTATCTATTTCTCTATCCATTCTCAACCCTGTTCTTAATTACATCTTCTTCATCTCCTTTACAACAAACTTTCCTCTCTACGCACTCTTTTCTCAAGAACCTTTACACAGGCCCTTCACACCCATTTTTTAAAAACAAACAACCTCTTATAATCCCAGCTCCCTGCCCCCAGTTATTTTCTGTTCATATTCCACCTCCTTGGGGGAAAAAAGGAGCCACTTTTTCCACTTTCTCATCCTCCAGCTTTAGCCACTATAGTCAAGCTGCTGCCTCACCACTTCGCTGCAGCTGCTCTGCATCAGGCCTTCATAATTGCTCCCTTTCATCACTGGCCCTTTCCTGATGCTCCTGCTGCCAAGCAAATCTCACCAGATTCTCTATTGTGCCCCATACACTTTAGACAGACTTCTACTCCAGGAACACTCCAGGAATATTCAATTGCTTATTTTTATGCCTCTTTCCCCTAATAAAGTGTAAACTCCTTGAAAGATGTCTGATTTATCACGGTATTACCAGTGCCCAGCACACAGTAGGTAGTACTCAACATGTATTTCAAATAAGTTAATCTTATTAGCTCCAAATATACTTACCCACTAAAAGCCACGATTTATTAGCTGCCATTATTATTAGCATACAGTACAATTTCTAGGCTGGAAGACAGCTTAGAGATAATCTAATCTTGATCTCCCCCCCCCCAGTTTCACAAATAAATAAAATGATTTAGAACGAAGTCAAATGACTTATCTTCTACATCCAACTAGTCAGAGGTAAGACAACAAGTTAGATAAAGAAAATTCTTGATATTGGTTCTAGTTAGTGGCATATATTCCTAATCTCTATGAATCTGAGTTATCAATGCATATGAATTCAGAAGATTATCTTCAAATATCTGCTTTAACTTTTGTCACAGAGAAAAAACATATACTCTTCTTTTGCTTAATTGCTATGCATTTTGATTACTAAATAGAAAATGAGAATTAAGCATGAAACCAAAATGTCTAAAATTTATATTTTAGTGTAGGAACTAACTGTCTTCTTGTATTGCTAACCCCCAAGTGCTGGATTCACCATTAAAGAGAGTTTCAGAAAACATGGAAAGGCTTTAATGACAAGTGTTATATGTAATTAAGGATTTAACAGAAGTACCGTACGGCTAAAGAACCAATAAAGCTCAATTTGGAAAAGAGAAGATAGAAAGGCAATTTAATACTGCCTTATATCTCAAGAAAAAGAGCTATTACACATGGTGACTAGCTATCCTCTACCTCTACATAATAGAACAAAATGCAGGAAGTTCAAAATCGTAGCATCAAGAATTGAGAGCAGACCTAGAAAATAAATTGCTGGTTCTTAGAATAGGATTATAGGCTTTCTTTCTGGATTTATAAAATAAAATGGACTCAAATCCACCTAAGATGTTAATGGTAACATTATAGGAAGGCATTCGGGTGAGCCTTGTCAAGGTGCAATCAGTCTGAAATTATTATGTAATCTGGGATGATCTAAGCAGATGATAAGTAAAATCTGAATGTTGTCTTCCAACAAAGTCTCTAACACAACCTACTTAATTTCCACAGTTCCACTACAACCACTGCTGAGGAGGTGAAGACTGAGTAGAGACTGGGGGTGGAGGGGAGAGGCATTTTGAGGTCTCACAACATGGACAATCTGAAATATGACTAGGAAAAGCTGAATAAACTAAATTTTTAGTGATTGACTGTGTTTTTCCCCCCATAACCAGAACCTTTAGAAAACTGCTGTAAAGCACATAAATTCACTGCTGTAAATGTCTTCTCTGAAAGTTTGAGTCTGCATGGCCATCCATTGCAAAAAGAACTTACTGTACTCTAGCTATCAAAATGAAATTTTAAAAAATTCAACTCATTATCTCTTTAAATCAATAAAATAAATGGGCACTAACTATTTTTTAATGGTTTCTTGCTTTGTTTGAATATCTAAGAGAAACAGATTAATGAGAGGAAAAAAATTGAGTGGCTGATCATGTAGTATGAAAAAGATAATAAAGATGACCCTCTTTCCCTAGGATATATATTTTTTTTAATTAAAGAGACAGGGTCGGGCTGTGACACCCAGGATGGAGTACAGTGGCATGATCACAGTTTACTGTAACCTTTAACTTCCCTGGACAAATTTCAAACACCTCAAAGAAATTTGAGTTGGAAAGAGAGGATCTGTTAGATTATTAGGTCCATCCTTTCCCCAATAATAATGTCTCCCCAGATACAGGACTTAGAATCTCAGTGAATTAAAAGATACTAGGTGTATTAATTTACTAGGGCTGCAATAACAAAGTATCACAGATTAGGTGGCTTAAACAACAGAAATTTATTTTGTCACAGTTCTAGAATCAAGAAGTCCAAGATCAAGGCATCAGCAGGGCTGGGTCCTATGGCATCACATGGTCTTCCCTCTACACAGGTCTGTGTCCAAATTTCCACTTAAGGACATCAGTCATATTGGATTAAGGCCCACTTACTGACCTCATGTTAACTTAATGACTTTTTTTTTTTTTTTTTTTTTTGAGGCAGAGTCTCGCTCTGTCACCCAGGCTGGAGTACAGTGGCACGATCTCGGCTCACTGCAAGCTCCACCTCCTGGGTTCACGCCATTCTCCTGCCTCAGCCTCCCAAGTAGCTGGGACTACAGGCGCCCGCCACTGCGCCCGCCACCACGCCTGGCTAATTTTTTTGTATTTTTAGTAGAGACGGGGTTTCACCGTGTTAGCCAGGATGGTCTCGATCTCCTGACTTTGTGATCTGCCCACCTCGGCCTCCCAAGTGCTGGGATTACAGGCATGAGCCACCGCGCCTGGCCAACTTAATGACTTCTTTGAAGACCTGATTCCAAATACAGTCAAATTTGGAGGTCCCACTAGGGGTTAGGACTTCAACATATGAATTTCAGAGAAACACAATACACTGGATTAATGTTTATAACATTATAATTTAAAAATGAGAGAAGCTACTGAGAAGTAAATAGTAGGTACCATACTTACATGATAAAAATTTAATTCTGCCCTTTGACAACAAAACGTCAGATTTTTCCGTACCACCCGCTTACTCATCCAGTATTCAGTGAGTGCTCTCTATGTGCTAAGCACTGTAGCTAAAATGAGAGTAGACCAGAAGAGTGGATCAGGAGCAGAGGGTCAACAGCTCTGGAAGCCAGATTATAGAACTGAGACCTGACCCAACAGGCAGTCAGAAAGACACTACAAGATTTCAAGGAGTAAAGTGATACTGAGAGTTTAAAAAAAAAAAAAAAAAAAAAATTACTATCGTTAATGCCTGGAGGACACACAACTGACAGGGAGGGAGAGGGCAGTTGCTGCCATATGTTAACTAATGGCAAAGGGGCGGGCAACTGGGATGCTGTTTTTGAAGCAGAATCATCAACTCTTGTTTTGAGAGGAAGACAAGGGAGTAATGATGCCTCCAAGATATTTAATGTGGACAACCAGTCAAATGCTATTGTCTTGAGGAAAGCAGCAGAAATCACTGAAACCGTAAGACTTCGAAGTGAAGTTACCTAGTATGAAGCTGGAAACATTTAAAATGAGGGCATGGGAAAAAGAAGAGAGATGAAAAAGGAACTCTGAAAAACAAAAGAAGAAAACCAGCAATGAGGAATGCTACAGAAGAAAGGAAAGAGAAAATTTCCATTAGAGAAGTGCTTGTCCTTTGGGGAAAATGATGCAAGTGAGCTTAAGTAAGAAAAGGGCTAATCCTTAAATCCACGGGATTTAATTACAGGGCATTCTGCACACAGCGCTGGAATTATGGCTCCATGAAGCTTCTCTCAGACAAGGGTTATGTCCCTGGTGTCTGGCACACTGCCTGTTGCACAGTGGGTGCTCAGATGATGTGGGTGAATGAGTAAATTATAGGAAGGCTAAAATACACTGTGTTGAGATGAGAAAGGGGTTAACGGAGTTGCGTGTGAACCAATGTATAAAGTTTGACGGCAAAGGAAGAACAAGATGAGAAGCAGATCAAGGGAATGAGAGTGCTAAAGATACTTGTTTATTTGTATAGAGGAACAGGAGCTAGAAGTTGTTATGATGGAGAAGAAAAAACTTGGAGCTTGGGATCAGACAGATCTGAATCCACTCTGGGTATGGATCTTAAGACAATCCCCTGGGCCTTGAAATTCTCTCATCTCTTAATTAGGAATCAGGAACACCCACCTCAATGCTGTGAAGACTTAACTAAACCAAGCCTGTGTTTAACTCTGGGCCCATAGTAAATGATCAAAAAC